TGAACGAATTATTAATATTTTGTGGATTCATTTGGGTTGTGAGAACAATGGATCAAAACGTAGAGAGAATTAGAATTTTATGAAATGATACATTTTATACTTTTAATTGAACTAAGAAAAAATAGCCAATTCATTTACTTTTTCAATATTATTATATCACTGCATCATATGTAAAAATTTTGTTAGTTAACTTATGCAACTACGGAATTCTAGCATGGCTATTCTACTTCTTACTACCACATAATTGTTTACAACCCTTGCTGATGAATAGCATTACAAACCATATTCTTCAATTTAGTACATGATTTGAACAAACAATGTTGAGCATGACAAATTTAATTGCCGAATATATCAATGGTATATTGGAGTACTGCACGTTACTCTTTATCAGTCTAGTAAGTTGGACTCTTCCCAATACCCACTTAACAACATAAGAATTTCTCGAGAAACGATGTGTTTTTAAATTTTTTTGATAAGAGAAATGAATATTTGGACATATATTATGATAAATCATTTTCAACTTTCAAGACTTCATTTTGTATTTGGCATTTTTTGGCATAGCAGCCTTCCAACAGAGCGGTGGGCAGCCTTCCTCTTACGGGGATCGAACATGGACAAGAGTTGTGGAGAATACATATTCTACAAATAAATATTTCTTTGTGCTTGTTCGATGCTATTAATTAAAGATATTTGAATGGTTAACTAATTGGAAGAAGAAAAAAGGGGATATTGACACAAATGTAACATAAATAAAATAAAAATGTGGATAGGTGAGAAATATTAGTTTCCCATTTGTTTGTTTATATATATATATATATATATATTATTTTATTGGGTTCAACTATGTTACTATTTGATCTCCATAATTTTCATTCATTACATCATCAATTCATGCTTTAAGTTATATTTCCAACTTATAATCTTTGCCCTTCGACAACTATTATAATGAGAAATTTGGGTAAAATGTATTTTGAAATAATAGCTTTTAGGAGGATGTGTAGTTTAAAATATATATATATTTTCGATATATGTTTAATATTATTTTATTAAAAATGTATGATTAAAAAGGAAAGAGAGAAAAATGTATTAAAATTTTAAAGGGAATCGAACAAGAGCTTTAATCCATTTTAACTCGGAATTAGGTTACTTGTATTTGTACATCATTGATAACATTTCATGATGTGTAAAAATCGAGGCCATTGATTATTTTTCTTCTTGTTAAAATCAATGGAAAAGCTGTGTGCCATATCATGAAGTGTAAACAAAACTATTACCAATGAGGTAAGTTTAACAAAATTGTATAATTTGTGGATTGATCTTCATAATAATACCCCATCCATTGTATGAATATTTACTACGCCTTGGATAAATACTCCATCCATTGTATGAATACTTAATCTGCCTTGATAACCCTAAGAAATAATTGCTCGATGTGCTGCCAGTAAATTCGGCCAAAATATGAGACCAAAGGGTTCGAAACAGAGACTCTCTTTCTATTGTTGCTCTTCAAATAATAATAATAATAATAATAATAATAATAATAATAATAATAATAATAATTCAATCTAGTGAAAGTACACTTTTTGATGAATTGACGAAGATCAATTCCTTCATTTCCTAGATATTCATGGAATTTCTGGCCAGGAACAAATTCAAAAATTTCAACCACTCAAGTAAATCTTGAATCGTCCCTTTCATCCGTATCATTTTCTTCAATTCCCGAAGTTTCAAATCATCCCTCTTGCTAACTTCCAAATATAAATATTAACATTGATTGTAAAAATTAAAAGATATTTCTCGACTTAGGGTCGAAAATGTCGATCCTTTACACCCAAACAGTTGGGCTTTATGGAGTGTTTACACAGTCCAATCTTAGGTGGTTTTTTTTTTTTTTTTTTTTTTTTTTTTTGGGTAAATGGGCCAAATGGGTCTCATCTGTTCGTAAAAGGTGGATACATTGACAAATGGGAAAAATTCATAAATCATGTATTAACTATGCACAATTCAAAGACCATGTTTTAAGTTTAACTAATGCAAAAATCAGGTTTTATTTAATTAATTAAAAATATTTATTACTTGAATATAATAAAGTCATAATAATACAATTAATGGTCACGTGTACACAATTAAGGTCACAAATTTATTCACTGGTCACATATCATGAAATTAATTGGTCACGAATTATTTTGAGGTCACAAATCAAAATTTTGATAGGTCACAAATTATTTCAAGGTCACAGATCACAATTTATCTAATGATTTTATCGGTCACAATTTATGTTATTGGTCACAAATTCAAAAAATTATAAGTCACAAGTCACATATTTTTAAATTTGATGGTCACATATTAGTTTTTTAGTCACAAAATGATCGAATTTGAAAGTTACGGATTAATAGTCAGTCACAGGCACTGAATAGCTGGTCACAGACACCAAGCACCCAATCCAATCCACCACAATACCACCACCACCTCCACCGCCACTGGCCATCGCCCTCACCCTGTCACCATCGCCACCAACACCAATACCACCACCCAAAAATTGACGACCACCACAGTGGTCACCTGCAACACAGTCACAAACACTAACAAACATCCCTACCCCAGGTCGTCTCACCTACAACCACCGCCACTAACATTACCGCCAATGCAACTGCCACCTCCACCGCAGCATTACCACGTCGTCCCACCTACAACCACCACCAACATTAACGTCGCTTCCACCGCACTAGCACCACCACAAGAAAAACCATCCAAACCCACCACACAACTACCAAATCCACCACCACACAAACACTACACCATCACCACAAAACACCAAGCTGGTATAGAGCTTCGCCTGTGAATAGTCGTCGGAGTGAGTCTGCTTCACGGCGGTGCAGTGAATCTGCTTCGTGCTGACTGGTACAGTGCTTCTCCTGTGAAGATGCTGCTTCGCCGCCGCCACCGTCATTTTATCACTGCAACTCACGAAGATTCGCGAAAGGAAATGTGTGGCGGTGCAGTGATCTGCTTCTTGACGACTTGGTGTATCTTCGCCGTGACATCTCCTCTTCATTACAGCAGCACCGCCACACCGGCAACGGTGCTCCGAGCGGTGGTGGACTCCGGCAGTTGAAGGCGGTGGATTTTTGATGTGGGCGGTGGACTTCGGCAATTCAACGAACAGGGTAGCGAGAGAGATGGGAGAGAATGGAAAGAGGGAAATTGATTTAGCCTAGGGTTTGTAGATATAATTATTAATTTCAAACCTGAATTTTGATTAAATAATCTTTGCACCCGACTTTTGCATTTTATGACGATGAATAGAAAAAAAAAATTAATAATAATAACGATGATAACCAGAACACAAATATTTAAGTAGAAAATTTAAAAATGGAAAAAACGACATGCTATATAAAAACAAGGAAAAATTGCAGCAGAGGCCCCAAATCTTTAAAATATTAGCAGACTTTACCCAAATCTTTAATTTGTTGCAACCGTCATCCCAAAACTTCTGAAACGTTGCAGCGGGGCCCCTTTGGTCGATTTTCATCCAAATGTCTGTCAGTTGACTGAAAATTTGACTTTCATCATGTTTTAAATTTTTTTGAAAGGGTAAAATAGTAACTTTCTATTTACTACATTAAAATAAATTTAAAAATTAAATTTAAAAAAAAAAAGAAAAAATAATAATAAACTGTGTATCATCTTCCCCCGCCATTTCCATCGACCACCGACCAAATATTTTTCTGGTAAAATCATTCCAATATAGTAGCAAAAGAGTGAAAATCGTTGGAAATAAAAATCAGAGACCCTGCTTATCATGCTGAATATATCGTTGAAGTCTAGCAAATAGGCTAGCATAAAAGAGTAATAAAATTTGATTCTGAGATGGAAGAGGAAGTAGATGTATCTATTACGGACTTGGAGAAAGTAATAAGAGAATTTTATACCCTCGCGGATGAGATGATGAAGATTAAACTTGAGATTGAAAAATGAATTCCTTACTCCAGGATTTTTTCGCAATCACGACCTGTTCGTTGTGGCCAAACTAATATGGTGAAGACTTGACGGAGATCAAGGATTGATTGTGGGCAGCGATAGTGAGTCCACCACTCATAGCTTTAGATGGCGTCAATGGAGCTGATTGGGCAGCAACAGTGTTGGCATACTGAGCAATATTGTGGAGGAAGTGACTAGCTAGAGAGGTGTGTAGCCTAGGCTTGGGGCGGAGAATATGGAACTCGAGATACGGTTGCGGGAGGTGAAGGAATGGAGAATTGAGGCTAACAGCCTTCGGGAAGCCATTGCACAGTGTCGATTTCTAGAGACAGGGAGGCTGGGAAAGACGATACACAATTTATTATTAATTTTTTCTTTTTTAATTTAATTTTTAACTTATTTTAATGTAGTAAATGGAAAGTTACACTTTTACCCTTTTAAACAAATTAAAAATATGGTGAAAGTCAAATTTTCAGTCAACTAACAGATATTTTGATGAAAACCGTCCAAAGGGGCCTCTGCTGCAACGTTTTGAAAGGTTTGGGGTGACGGTTGTAACAAATTAAAGATTTGGGAAGTCTGCTAATATTTTAAAAGTTTGGAGCCTCTGTTGCAATTTTTCCAAAAACAATTATACACTTGTAAAGGGTAAAAATTGAGGGGTTCTTGTTGATCTGGCCTAAGCAGCATAACGGGCTAACAAAATACTGGGCTCATGACATTCGGGTCCAGCATAGGTCGTAGGAGGCCCAATTAAACATAGCCCATTAGCTTAAAAGGCCACGTATTCAGAGCCCATTGTCCCACCTCAATTCAACATTAGTAAATGTCAACCCAATGGTCTCGGCTCATTTGAGGAAACAATCAGGCTAGCTATCTGTTCGGCTTGACTAGCTGTTAGCCTACACATGGATGCAAATTACCAACTCAAATTTAGGGATAACAAAAAAATTCGATCAATCCGATACCCACTGGACCCTGCCCCGAGTGAGGTTGGGATTACTAGCCTAAATGGGTAAATGGGGGTGGAGCTAGATGGAGGTTGTTGTCCCGAAACGGGCATGGAAGGGTATGGAAAAGATGGTTCCCAATTGGCTACTTGCACCGTTTAAAGTTAATTTCAAATCTAAATTTTTCATCAAACAAAAAGAATAGAGTTATCATTATTTTTAAAGAAAATACTAGATGTTCTTAACAAATTGAAAAAAAAAAAGTAATAATTTTTAATAGCTAAAGATAGAATAAACAAACACAAAAAATTAATGGTGCAACCCCGAACCCATCCCACCCTACTTTAACCAAGTATAAGGGTGGGACAAGACGACAAAAATAATCAACCGGACGGGGGGCGAAGAATGGCCAACTCACCCCATATCTTTCCTGTTGCCTTTCTAACTCTGAATAAGGAATGAAAAGTAGCCAGAATGTAAATTTTGGATCACACAACACATTTTTAAAAGATTTGAAATCTTAAATGCAAATTACCATTTTTTTAAATAAATTAAGGGTTAAGAAATCATTTTATCCTTTTAAAAAATTTTCAAATCATGATTAAACGCTACGGATTTTTGAATGAAAACTATACGGCCGTTTTTCTGCCACAAAGTTTTGAAAGGTTTGTGGACTATCTACTACGATTTAAAGATTTTGGTATAGTTTGTAATATTTTGAATGATTTCAAACCTACATAAAAAAATTTCAATTTCTTTAATAATTCTCCAAAAACTCCCAATATTATGAAAAATAAAAAACCTTTATTTACGTGTCATTATCGTACCCATAACTTACACATTCTCTGGATTTGGCGTCTTAACTAATTTAGGTAAAATGGCACTTTTCTTTTGTGTCTTAAGTTACTTACTCAAAAGGATTTTTTAAACGTACAATACAAAATATTGAACAGCGACGGATTCGAAATTATTCTTCAGTGGGGGCGAGACAGAAAATTAGCTAAAAAAAATTGTGAAAAAAAATAATCTGAAAATTTAAATTCAACAAGGCTGAATTGAAGGTTTTTGAAAATTCAGTGGGGTGGCCAACCCCATTCATCCCTTACTTGGTCCGCCCCTGATATTGAAATTAATTAACTTATCAAATGAGTCTTACACTCTTACTTAATATTCGAACAATGAAATGCACAAATTAAACTAGATAATATATACTGAATAATGTTAAGAAATAAAAATATGTTAAATTCTTATTTATTGTAGTGTCTAAATTTCAATTATATTTAATACGAATTATCAAACGCCTCTCTCTATCCAAAGAGTTTTAATTCATATCATGCATGCATGGCTGCCGAAAATGACACGAATTTTTGGCATTTTGACATCTGTTTTACGTAAGTTAATAAGCAAGTTGAAAACTGGAGCAATTCCTCGTATCTTGTTGATAGAATCATTTTCCAAACTCAAATATTTTCCTTCTTCACTTCAAACTTCCCAAAATCTATGGGAACAAACCAAATTGATTGATTTTCCCAGCTAGAGTTAAAAAGGAGTTGGTACAAGTGACATGGACTGCAAGCCAAGTGTAAATGTGATTAGTAGACATAGAGATTATTATTATTTTCTTCATCAATATTTTATTTTTATGTCAAAAATAGGGTTACGTCTAGATTTATTTAGTCGAGAGATCCCTTTATTAACAAGGCTTTGAGCAACTCCACATTTGCTCTAAAATGGATAATGATTATCGAACCTCAATTTATATATGAGTTAATCAAATATGATAGGAAGGTGAATCAACGTGAATTCAAGAGTCACAACAAAATAAAAATATATCTCATTATATTGTCCAATTATATTAAGCATTTGTAACATATTTTATAATTTTTTTGATATTGTTTATTAAGTCAAACGAAATATTCTTAACAGAAGCAACTTTGAACCGCCAAAGTTGACACTACATATTTTGAAGAATAGTGCACATTCTCGAAGTCAAAACCATAGGCGCCATCTATAGTAACCATTTCAATACTATAAATTCATGTGCTGAACCTTGTGGAATTTCCATTCTGAAAATAGAATAAACTCAACCCATTATACATATTTAGTGACACTTGACGACATTCAAGTCAAGTCCGGATAAAGGGAAAAGATCACAAGACTTGCATAAAATTATTGGTTGGGTTAAGCACTCTGGACCCAGTCCCGGAGAGGGACACAAAATCGTTCATGCAGCCAATCACCAGTGAATACAATCCATTATTGTGTGGATTTGTTTTTCTTTTCAAAGGTTACGCAAAAATAAAAGGAAAATAAGTTGATGTCAACAAGATATTTACTATTAGAATCCTTGTAATATCTTACATGACACTATGTTCGAATAGAAAATGTAAAATATATTATATAAGCCGTTAGAATGAAATAAATTCCATGCTCGACTTATTATTGTTTACTTTCTTGTTTCTTAGAACAATTGTTGGTGATCACTTTTAAGATTATTTAAGTGAGAAGTCGAAATTGAGTTACAAAAAAGAATTAGTACACATTGCAATTATATAAATCATATTTTTAATGAAAATAGGTCCCCCCAAACCTAATTATGTCATCAGGTTTCAAACTTTTAATGTTTGCACTTACATTTCAAACTTCTTAATAAATGTGCACTCGATCCACTGCATCCAAACTTGTTGGAAATGTATTACTGACATAGTTGCTTCGTTAGACTTTGCACCATAAAGACCGTGGATCTTTTGATAGTTCTCGAAGATCTTCCATAGTAATGAACCTCATTCGCAGCCTATTACTTATACTATAAAATCAAGTTAGAATTATATTATTTTATACCGTCCAATATTACTTAGGAAAAATGTACTTTAATTTTTAAATGGGAATACGGAGAACTCATTCATCTCTCTCAACATGTAACATATCTTTCACTTCTCGCGATTTATCTCCCTCACAAAATTTTAGAGATAGAGCTGTAGAGCCGTCAAGGTTGGGATTCAACCTTTATCCTTCACTTCTCATTTCTCTAGTGTACCTGTATATGTTGTGAGAGGGTTAACTTATTCTATTAAAATAAGCACTAGACATACTTATTTTGAATGATGGCTATACAAAAGAAGTATCCAATAACGATTAAAGTTTAATGATGCAAAGAAAAAAAGTACTCCTAAACATGCTCTAAATTCCAACACGATGCAGCCAAAGCAATAATATTTTTAATTTCCATCAGCTTTGCCCTTTGGATACTACAAGCACAGATCTTCCACCAGCTCCCCCTTCGTATTCACATCCCGTCAAAATCGCCCTTTCCTTCGGCAAGAACCCTCAATCTCCACCAATTAAAGTTTAATGATGCAAAGAAAAAAAGTACTCCTAAACATGCTCTAAATTCCAACACGATGCAGCCAAAGCAATAATATTTTTAATTTCCATCAGCTTTGCCCTTTGGATACTACAAGCACAGATCTTCCACCAGCTCCCCCTTCGTATTCACATCCCGTCAAAATCGCCCTTTCCTTCGGCAAGAACCCTCAATCTCCATGGGCGAATAGCATCGATGCTCTGTCCATCTCGCGATCGGCAGCGGCGCAGGTATAATATCTACAATGATACGTGTTCGAGTTTTAATTTTTTTGGACAATATTTTTAAGTGTACCAAACCCAGTACTTATTCATGATTTCAGAAGGATTTGATAAATTATTTCAAGCAATAATTTTTTCATGCGGTTCATTTCTTGATGCAGTTGCAAATGTGTTGTTGTGGAAGAATTGGTTTGGGAGTGCTGCTCTGCTTATCGGTTCCACCGCCCTTTGGTTACTATTTGAAAGAGCAGGCTATAATCTCTTATTAGTTATTTCAAATGTCTTATTGTTGCTTGTAGTGATGTTGTTCTTCTGGGCCAAATCTGCATTATTTCTCAATAGGTAGCATAAATATGGACGGACTTACGTATCTCAGCACGTGGGATTTAATGCCTTTTAACTTCTTTCCTGATTTGTTACTGTATTCTCCTTAGCTGAAGTTATATCTGGCTAGAAATTATTTCATTACTTGCAGAAACTGTTTGATAGGTTATTTCATTGTTAGGACTGACATTTGTTTCACGTGCCTGCTCACTTGTTTATCTGATGGTTGGTGCTCACTTGTATATCTGATGGTGGGTGTTTCTATGTGCAATGTAATCCACTCTTATATACTTGAATCTTAAAGTTAAATGAATTGATATCATTTCTTGATTTTAGACCTCTGCCTCCTGTTCCTAATCTGGACATTTCCGAGGAATCTGTTGTGAAAGCTGCAGATGAGATGCGAGTTTGGGTAAATCGAGCATTATCCATTGCACACGACATTGCCATTGGTGGAAAGTTGGGACTGTTTGTTCAGGTTATTTACACAGTTTAATTTGTTATTTTCATCAAGCAGATAAAGTTTATTGACCCTGATTGTGTACTTGATTAACTGAGGTTCTTTTCCATACTACGTGTATTTTGCTTGTTAGGTCTTTTTAGGCTTGTGGATGATCTCCTACATTGGAGGTTTCTTCAACTTCCTTACCCTGTCTTATATTGGTCAGTATTTGCTGGATCTACTCTAGATCTCTGTTTTTCCTCATAATATATAGTTGTAATGTGGGACTCTGTTGTCATTATTGCAGCGGTTCTTCTTAGTTTATCACTACCTGTCTTGTACGCCAAATACCAAAAGCAAATCGATGAAAAGCTGATTATAGCGCGTCAGATTATTCAGACACAGTACCGGAAAATCGATGAACAAATATTGAGAAAGATTCCAATGCCTTCAAACAATGATAAGAAGACCCAATAGATTCAGTGTAATTTCCTCATCCTCGACTATCTCTCTGCCCCCTTGTGACCATAGTCCTTTTTTGTATCATTTGTCATGTGTTGATGTACTTGACAAAGTCCTTAAGTGCTCTTGTGCATGCATTCTTGCGTCATTCTTAGACTAACATACTGCGAACAAGCATTATCATGATGGGCATGCCTGTGAGTCGTATGATTTAATTTTACAAAACTTGTGTACAATTGACAAATAAGTGTTCTCACTTGGCATTTCAAAACATTAAAGGAAAAATATTGCTGCTGAATTACTCATACACTTTTTGAATGCGACTTTATGATGAAATCAAGCCATGCATTTTTTATCAACTGTTGATTTATATAATTACCCTACTTTTTGAGGTTAAGCATATATCTCAAGGTGCAAAAAATGTGATCTTCTCTCTGATAATTTTTGTTGTTCTTTTTTCTACAATCAACTAGCTTTAAATGAAGAATGTTATAACCATTAATTTGGGTGCATATTGAGACGGTTGCTGTTCAAAGGACTGAGAGTCTGGGACTTGTAATGTACGACAAAAGGCCCACCAACGTTTATATTGCATCACTAATGATAAGTTATTAAAATATTAAACTGAGTTGCCTATGCTCATCTTTGATTTGCTTTTGACAACTTATGTGGTGAACCTTTCGTTGATCCTATTGGTTTGGCTTGTCTAAAATAAGTATCTTCCTAGAAATTATTTGTAAGAATCCCATTGAATAGCTGAGAGTCCTTTTCCTTCGGCGTTTTCATAAGTTCCTAATATACTTTTCGTTTTACAATCTAATTTGATAATACCAATGTATATTTGTTATAGCCTTTTCATAATTTCTTAATATACTTTGAGTGCATTTAGCACTATATCAGACCGGATAAAGATTAATTTAATTATATCCTGAGTTTGATGCAAGATTCAATTAATTTGGTCAACTTATTCTATTCTATGTTAACCAAATAAAATAATTTAAGGTGGATATAAATCACTTGAACTCACTCACAATTATCATATTCAATCCTTCTAGTTGCAAAAAGAAAGAAAGAAAGAAAAATATGTGTAATAATTCTAAACAAAGAACAAGAAACCGTAACTTACCTATAAGCAAATAAGTAAGCTTTAAAAAAAATAAATGAGCTCTAAAATAAATAATTTTTGCATGAATCAAAGTTAAAAATGATTAATCTTTTCATTTTGACATTGACATAGGAGATACCTAAAAAAGTAATTTTTAAAGTAAAAAGTAAGTTATTCAAAAATGATCATAGATAAAAGTAAATATATAAATTTACTTTTACTTAAGAAACTTTACTTATAAGTAAATAAGTAAGTTTTGAATTAATTAATCTTTTTATGATTGAATTTGAAAGTTACGGATTAATAGTCAGTCACAGGCACTGAATAGCTGGTCACAGACACCAAGCACCCAATCCAATCCACCACAATACCACCACCACCTCCACCGCCACTGGCCATCGCCCTCACTCTGTCACCATCGCCACCAACACCAATACCACCACCCAAAAATTGACGACCACCACAGTGGTCACCTGCAACACAGTCACAAACACTAACAAACATCCCTACCCCAGGTCGTCTCACCTACAACCACCGCCACTAACATTACCGCCAATGCAACTGCCACCTCCACCGCAGCATTACCACGTCGTCCCACCTACAACCACCACCAACATTAACGTCGCTTCCACTGCACTAGCACCACCACAAGAAAAACCATCCAAACCCACCACACAACTACCAAATCCACCACCACACAAACACTACACCATCACCACAAAACACCAAGCTGGTATAGTGCTTCGCCTGTGAATAGTCGTCGGAGTGAGTCTGCTTCACGGCGGTGCAGTGAATCTGCTTCGTGCTTACTGGTACAGTGCTTCTCCTGTGAAGATGCTGCTTCGCCGCCGCCACCGTCATTTTATCACTGCAACTCACGAAGATTCGCGAAAGGAAATGTGTGGCGGTGCAGTGATCTGCTTCTTGACGACTTGGTGTATCTTCGCCGTGACATCTCCTCTTCATTACAGCAGCACCGCCACACCGGCAACGGTGCTCCGAGCGGTGGTGGACTCCGGTAGTTGAAGGCGGTGGATTTTTGATGTGGGCGGTGGACTTCGGCAATTCAACGAACAGGGTAGCGAGAGAGATGGGAGAGAATGGAAAGAGGGAAATTGATTTAACCTAGGGTTTGTAGATATATATTTTTAATTATTAATTTAAAACCTGAATTTTGATTAAATAATCTTTGCACCCGACTTTTGCATAATGAAGTTTAAATACCGGTATCTGTGTAATTTCCCCATGGAAAGAAGTTCATCAAATTTTTAAATATTTATGTTTGCTAAACCTAGCCAAACATAGGTATGGCGAAGAGATTTTAGTTTCCTGATGAGATCTTTGGCAAGATAGCAGTGAGATTGGTGTCCTTCTCAAGTATAAAAATATATTTGAAATTTGAGCCTATTTTTATGACGATGAATAGAAAAAAAAAATTAATAATAATAACGATGATAACCAGAACACAAATATTTAAGTAGAAAATTTAAAAATGGAAAAAACGACATGCTATATAAAAACAAGGAAAAATTGCAGCAGAGGCCCCAAATCTTTAAAATATTAGCAGACTTTACCCAAATCTTTAATTTGTTGCAACCGTCATCCCAAAACTTCTGAAACGTTGCAGCGGGGCCCCTTTGGTCGATTTTCATCCAAATGTCTGTCAGTTGACTGAAAATTTGACTTTCATCATGTTTTAAATTTTTTTGAAAGGGTAAAATAGTAACTTTCTATTTACTACATTAAAATAAATTTAAAAATTAAATTTAAAAAAAAAAAGAAAAAATAATAATAAACTGTGTATCATCTTCCCCCGCCATTTCCATCGACCACCGACCAAATATTTTTCTGGTAAAATCATTCCAATATAGTAGCAAAAGAGTGAAAATCGTTGGAAATAAAAATCAGAGACCCTGCTTATCATGCTGAATATATCGTTGAAGTCTAGCAAATAGGCTAGCATAAAAGAGTAATAAAATTTGATTCTGAGATGGAAGAGGAAGTAGATGTATCTATTACGGACTTGGAGAAAGTAATAAGAGAATTTTATACCCTCGCGGATGAGATGATGAAGATTAAACTTGAGATTGAAAAATGAATTCCTTACTCCAGGATTTTTTCGCAATCACGACCTGTTCGTTGTGGCCAAACTAATATGGTGAAGACTTGACGGAGATCAAGGATTGATTGTGGGCAGCGATAGTGAGTCCACCACTCATAGCTTTAGATGGCGTCAATGGAGCTGATTGGGCAGCAACAGTGTTGGCATACTGAGCAATATTGTGGAGGAAGTGACTAGCTAGAGAGGTGTGTAGCCTAGGCTTGGGGCGGAGAATATGGAACTCGAGATACGGTTGCGGGAGGTGAAGGAATGGAGAATTGAGGCTAACAGCCTTCGGGAAGCCATTGCACAGTGTCGATTTCTAGAGACAGGGAGGCTGGGAAAGACGATACACAATTTATTATTAATTTTTTCTTTTTTAATTTAATTTTTAACTTATTTTAATGTAGTAAATGGAAAGTTACACTTTTACCCTTTTAAACAAATTAAAAATATGGTGAAAGTCAAATTTTCAGTCAACTAACAGATATTTTGATGAAAACCGTCCAAAGGGGCCTCTGCTGTAACGTTTTGAAAGGTTTGGGGTGACGGTTGTAACAAATTAAAGATTTGGGAAGTCTGCTAATATTTTAAAAGTTTGGAGCCTCTGTTGCAATTTTTCCAAAAACAATTATACACTTGTAAAGGGTAAAAATTGAGGGGTTCTTGTTGATCTGGCCTAAGCAGCATAACGGGCTAACAAAATACTGGGCTCATGACATTCGGGTCCAGCATAGGTCGTAGGAGGCCCAATTAAACATAGCCCATTAGCTTAAAAGGCCACGTATTCAGAGCCCATTGTCCCACCTCAATTCAACATTAGTAAATGTCAACCCAATGGTCTCGGCTCATTTGAGGAAACAATCAGGCTAGCTATCTGTTCGGCTTGACTAGCTGTTAGCCTACACATGGATGCAAATTACCAACTCAAATTTAGGGATAACAAAAAAATTCGATCAATCCGATACCCACTGGACCCTGCCCCGAGTGAGGTTGGGATTACTAGCCTAAATGGGTAAATGGGGGTGGAGCTAGATGGAGGTTGTTGTCCCGAAACGGGCATGGAAGGGTATGGAAAAGATGGTTCCCAATTGGCTACTTGCACCGTTTAAAGTTAATTTCAAATCTAAATTTTTCATCAAACAAAAAGAATAGAGTTATCATTATTTTTAAAGAAAATACTAGATGTTCTTAACAAATTGAAAAAAAAAAAGTAATAATTTTTAATAGCTAAAGATAGAATAAACAAACACAAAAAATTAATGGTGCAACCCTGAACCCATCCCACCCTACTTTAACCAAGTATAAGGGTGGGACAAGACGACAAAAATAATCAACCGGACGGGGGGCGAAGAATGGCCAACTCGCCCCATATCTTTCCTGTTGCCTTTCTAACTCTGAATAAGGAATGAAAAGTAGCCAGAATGTAAATTTTGGATCACACAACACATTTTTAAAAGATTTGAAATCTTAAATGCAAATTACCATTTTTTTTAATAAATTAAGGGTTAAGAAATCATTTTATCCTTTTAAAAAATTTTCAAATTATGATTAAATGCTACGGATTTTTGAATGAAAACTATACGGCCGTTTTTCTGCCACAAAGTTTTGAAAGGTTTGTGGACTATCTACTACGATTTAAAGATTTTGGTATAGTTTGTAATATTTTGAATGATTTCAAACCTACATAAAAAAATTTCAATTTCTTTAATAATTCTCCAAAAACTCCCAATATTATGAAAAATAAAAAACCTTTATTTACGTGTCATTATCGTACCCATAACTTACACATTCTCTGGATTTGGCGTCTTAACTAATTTAGGTAAAATGGCACTTTTCTTTTGTGTCTTAAGTTACTTACTCAAAAGGATTTTTTAAACGTACAATACAAAATATTGAACAGCGACGGATTCGAAATTATTCTTCAGTGGGGGCGAGACAGAAAATTAGCTAAAAAAAATTGTGAAAAAAAATAATCTGAAAATTTAAATTCAACAAGGCTGAATTGAAGGTTTTTGAAAATTCAGTGGGGTGGCCAACCCCATTCATCCCTTACTTGGTCCGCCCCTGATATTGAAATTAATTAACTTATCAAATGAGTCTTACACTCTTACTTAATATTCGAACAATGAAATGCACAAATTAAACTAGATAATATATACTGAATAATGTTAAGAAATAAAAATATGTTAAATTCTTATTTATTGTAGTGTCTAAATTTCAATTATATTTAATACGAATTATCAAACGCCTCTCTCTATCCAAAGAGTTTTAATTCATATCATGCATGCATGGCTGCCGAAAATGACACGAATTTTTGGCATTTTGACATCTGTTTTACGTAAGTTAATAAGCAAGTTGAAAACTGGAGCAATTCCTCGTATCTTGTTGATAGAATCATTTTCCAAACTCAAATATTTTCCTTCTTCACTTCAAACTTCCCAAAATCTATGGGAACAAACCAAATTGATTGATTTTCCCAGCTAGAGTTAAAAAGGAGTTGGTACAAGTGACATGGACTGCAAGCCAAGTGTAAATGTGATTAGTAGACATAGAGATTATTATTATTTTCTTCATCAATATTTTATTTTTATGTCAAAAATAGGGTTACGTCTAGATTTATTTAGTCGAGAGATCCCTTTATTAACAAGGCTTTGAGCAACTCCACATTTGCTCTAAAATGGATAATGATTATCGAACCTCAATTTATATATGAGTTAATCAAATATGATAGGAAGGTGAATCAACGTGAATTCAAGAGTCACAACAAAATAAAAATATATCTCATTATATTGTCCAATTATATTAAGCATTTGTAACATATTTTATAATTTTTTTGATATTGTTTATTAAGTCAAACTAAATATTCTTAACAGAAGCAACTCTGAACCGCCAAAGTTGACACTATATATTTTGAAGAATAGTGCACATTCTCGAAGTCAAAACCATAGGCGCCATCTATAGTAACCATTTCAATACTATAAATTCATGTGCTGAACCTTGTGGAATTTCCATTCTGAAAATAGAATAAACATATTTAGTGACATTCTGAGCTTGTCTATCAATAATCCTTTGCTAGCGAATACCCATGAATCCTATGGGAAAGCAATACCACTTGTTGTTCATCTTCTTTTTTCTTTACTCTCTGATATTTACTTCAGTACTTTATGTCACAGCTCGACCATTGTTGAATGAACCAAGCCAGGTAAATCAAATGAGCCCACCAACAAAGTTAGTGACGACATTCAAGTCAAGTCCGGATAAAGGGAAAAGATCACAAGACTTGCATAAAACTATTGGTTGGGTTAAGCACTCTGGACCCAGTCCCGGAGAGGGACACAAAATCGTTCATGCAGCCAATCACCAGTGAATACAATCCATTATTGTGTGGATTTGTTTTTTCTTTTCAAAGGTTACGCAAAAATAAAAGGAAAAGAAGTTGATGTCAACAAGATATTTACTATTAGAATCCTTGTAATATCTTACATGACACTATGTTCGAATAGAAAATGTAAAATATATTATATAAGCCGTTAGAATGAAATAAATTCCATGCTCGACTTATTATTGTTTACTTTCTTGTTTCTTAGAACAATTGTTGGTGATCACTTTTAAGATTATTTAAGTGTAGAAGTCGAAATTGAGTTACAAAAAAGAATTAGTACACATTGCAATTATATAAATCATATTTTTAATGAAAATAGGTCCCCCCAAACCTAATTATGTCATCAGGTTTCAAACTTTTAATGTTTGCACTTACATTTCAAACTTCTTAATAAATGTGCACTCGATCCACTGCATCCAAACTTGTTGGAAATGTATTACTGACATAGTTGCTTCGTTAGACTTTGCACCATAAAGACCGTGGATCTTTTGATAGTTCTCGAAGATCTTCCATAGTAATGAACCTCATTCGCAGCCTATTACTTATACTATAAAATCAAGTTAGAATTATATTATTTTATACCGTCCAATATTACTTAGGAAAAATGTACTTTAATTTTTAAATGGGAATACGGAGAACTCATTCATCTCTCTCAACATGTAACATATCTTTCACTTCTCGCGATTTATCTCCCTCACAAAATTTTAGGGATAGAGCTGTACAGCCGTCAAGGTTGGGATTCAACCTTTATCCTTCACTTCTCATTTCTCTAGTGTACCTGTATATGTTGTGAGAGGGTTAACTTATTCTATTAAAATAAGCACTAGACATACTTATTTTGAATGATGGCTATACAAAAGAAGTATCCAATAACGATTAAAGTTTAATGATGCAAAGAAAAAAAGTACTCCTAAACATGCTCTAAATTCCAACACGATGCAGCCAAAGCAATAATATTTTTAATTTCCATCAGCTTTGCCCTTTGGATACTACAAGCACAGATCTTCCACCAGCTCCCCCTTCGTATTCACATCCCGTCAAAATCGCCCTTTCCTTCGGCAAGAACCCTCAATCTCCATGGGCGAATAGCATCGATGCTCTGTCCATCTCGCGATCGGCAGCGGCGCAGGTATAATATCTACAATGATACGTGTTCGATTTTTAATTTTTTTGGACAATATTTTTAAGTGTACCAAACCCAGTACTTATTCATGATTTCAGAAGGATTTGATAAATTATTTCAAGCAATAATTTTTTCATGCGGTTCATTTCTTGATGCAGTTGCAAATGTGTTGTTGTGGAAGAATTGGTTTGGGAGTGCTGCTCTGCTTATCGGTTCCACCGCCCTTTGGTTACTATTTGAAAGAGCAGGCTATAATCTCTTATTAGTTATTTCAAATGTCTTATTGTTGCTTGTAGTGATGTTGTTCTTCTGGGCCAAATCTGCATTATTTCTCAATAGGTAGCATAAATATGGACGGACTTACGTATCTCAGCACGTGGGATTTAATGCCTTTTAACTTCTTTCCTGATTTGTTACTGTATTCTCCTTAGCTGAAGTTATATCTGGCTAGAAATTATTTCATTACTTGCAGAAACTGTTTGATAGGTTATTTCATTGTTAGGACTGACATTTGTTTCACGTGCCTGCTCACTTGTTTATCTGATGGTTGGTGCTCACTTGTATATCTGATGGTGGGTGTTTCTATGTGCAATGTAATCCACTCTTATATACTTGAATCTTAAAGTTAAATGAATTGATATCATTTCTTGATTTTAGACCTCTGCCTCCTGTTCCTAATCTGGACATTTCCGAGGAATCTGTTGTGAAAGCTGCAGATGAGATGCGAGTTTGGGTAAATCGAGCATTATCCATTGCACACGACATTGCCATTGGTGGAAAGTTGGGACTGTTTGTTCAGGTTATTTACACAGTTTAATTTGTTATTTTCATCAAGCAGATAAAGTTTATTGACCCTGATTGTGTACTTGATTAACTGAGGTTCTTTTCCATACTATGTGGATTTTGCTTGTTAGGTCTTTTTAGGCTTGTGGATGATCTCCTACATTGGAGGTTTCTTCAACTTCCTTACCCTGTCTTATATTGGTCAGTATTTGCTGGATCTACTCTAGATCTCTGTTTTTCCTCATAATATATAGTTGTAATGTGGGACTCTGTTGTCATTATTGCAGCGGTTCTTCTTAGTTTATCACTACCTGTCTTGTACGCCAAATACCAAAAGCAAATCGATGAAAAGCTGATTATAGCGCGTCAGATTATTCAGACACAGTACCGGAAAATCGATGAACAAATATTGAGAAAGATTCCAATGCCTTCAAACAATGATAAGAAGACCCAATAGATTCAGTGTAATTTCCTCATCCTCGACTATCTCTCTGCCCCCTTGTGACCATAGTCCTTTTTTGTATCATTTGTCATGTGTTGATGTACTTGACAAAGTCCTTAAGTGCTCTTGTGCATGCATTCTTGCGTCATTCTTAGACTAACATACTGCGAACAAGCATTATCATGATGGGCATGCCTGTGAGTCGTATGATTTAATTTTACAAAACTTGTGTACAATTGACAAATAAGTGTTCTCACTTGGCATTTCAAAACATTAAAGGAAAAATATTGCTGCTGAATTACTCATACACTTTTTGAATGCGACTTTATGATGAAATCAAGCCATGCATTTTTTATCAACTGTTGATTTATATAATTACCCTACTTTTTGAGGTTAAGCATATATCTCAAGGTGCAAAAAATGTGATCTTCTCTCTGATAATTTTTGTTGTTCTTTTTTCTACAATCAACTAGCTTTAAATGAAGAATGTTATAACCATTAATTTGGGTGCATATTGAGACGGTTGCTGTTCAAAGGACTGAGAGTCTGGGACTTGTAATGTACGACAAAAGGCCCACCAACGTTTATATTGCATCACTAATGATAAGTTATTAAAATATTAAACTGAGTTGCCTATGCTCATCTTTGATTTGCTTTTGACAACTTATGTGGTGAACCTTTCGTTGATCCTATTGGTTTGGCTTGTCTAAAATAAGTATCTTCCTAGAAATTATTTGTAAGAATCCCATTGAATAGCTGAGAGTCCTTTTCCTTCGGCGTTTTCATAAGTTCCTAATATACTTTTCGTTTTACAATCTAATTTGATAATACCAATGTATATTTGTTATAGCCTTTTCATAATTTCTTAATATACTTTGAGTGCATTTAGCACTATATCAGACCGGATAAAGATTAATTTAATTATATCCTGAGTTTGATGCAAGATTCAATTAATTTGGTCAACTTATTCTATTCTATGTTAACCAAATAAAATAATTTAAGGTGGATATAAATCACTTGAACTCACTCACAATTATCATATTCAATCCTTCTAGTTGCAAAAAGAAAGAAAGAAAGAAAAATAATTTCTTAATATACTTTGAGTGCATTTAGCACTATATCAGACCGGATAAAGATTAATTTAATTATATCCTGAGTTTGATGCAAGATTCAATTAATTTGGTCAACTTATTCTATTCTATGTTAACCAAATAAAATAATTTAAGGTGGATATAAATCACTTGAACTCACTCACAATTATCATATTCAATCCTTCTAGTTGCAAAAAGAAAGAAAGAAAGAAAAATATATATGTGTAATAATTCTAAACAAAGAACAAGAAACCGTAACTTACCTATAAGCAAATAAGTAAGCTTTAAAAAAAATAAATGAGCTCTAAAATAAATAATTTTTGCATGAATCAAAGTTAAAAATGATTAATCTTTTCATTTTGACATTGACATAGGAGATACCTAAAAAAGTAATTTTTAAAGTAAAAAGTAAGTTATTCAAAAATGATCATAGATAAAAGTAAATATATAAATTTACTTTTACTTAAGAAACTTTACTTATAAGTAAATAAGTAAGTTTTGAATTAATTAATCTTTTTTTTTTTGGGTTAATCAAAGCTATTTGACACAAATGTAAGAATTATTTTGTTACTCCTCTCTTTTATAAGTTTAGACAAAAAAAATATTATTGTTATGAATTATTTATTTTCAATACTTATATGTTCGCAGTTCTTCTAATATGGTGTAGCACTAAACGCCATGTTATAATAGTGCATCATAATCCACCTAAGTACACTTTCCCCTAATCATATCGCTCCTGGTTCTACCTCACCAGTCCAATATGGCGCTCCAAAAGCTCCCTTTGTGTTTTACAATCAGTTTGATCATGGCATCTATGCTCTAGCTAGTTCTCCTTCCAAGTGTAGCTTGATATTTAAGCCAAATTAAGTTACTCTACAATGTCTTGCTCTATTGCTTTTTATTCTTGATCTTTGTCAAATATTAACTGAATTTGCAGAAAAATCTTATATGTGCTGAACTTACCAGATTTCCTTATAGAGACATGGAAATTTTATATTATAGGCATATTGAAGTTCTAAGGCCTCTTGAGGGTTAAGTGCAAAGTGAAGCAATCTTCAAATTTGTTTTCAGCATAAAAATCTTATGGCTCTACAGTAGTAAAATAAGTAGATTAAATCCAACACAATAATTTTAGAAATTAATCAATATGATGTAATCTGTTAAAAAAATTACACATAGAATAATATAAATTGTAGCACATTGTGATACATTGACACGGACGTGTGCTCAACAGGATATGTGTCGGATACGCCGAGACGCAATTTTTAATAAAAGTACTGGCACGACATGTTGATGAAATTCTTTAAAATTTTTCATTTATATAGTATAACTTTAGTTTTATATTTGATATTAATTTTTCTTGGTGAAAATTTTTAAATAAGAGTACTTATTTGTTATTTTATTAATAACTTTAAGTTAAAAATATATAATATTTCTAGTAAAAAAAGAAAAATGATTATGGTAGAGTGTCTAAGAAGTGCCGGTATGAACACGTGTCCGACTCGTGTTTGACACAAACACGTTACCTTAATTGAAATGTCCGTATTACAGAGGTAGTACGTATACTTAAGCTTAATGCTTTATATGGTAATAATATGCCCAACTCTTACATTTAAGGTATAGCACGCACCGAAACATAGAGGCCCTATTTGGTTTGGCTAAATATCAAATTTGTAGTAGATTTTGATAAATGTTGATGAAATCTGTGATTGAAAAATTAATAAAGAATGTGGATCCCATAAAATATATGGTTGAAAATGAGTTTGGGGAAATATGAGTTTTGAATAATTGGGGCAAGGGTAAAATCAAATAAGAATAATTATATTTTGTAGCTTTGAACATTTTATGGGTTATTTTTGTAGACTATATTCAAATAAGTATGGGAAGGACCGCCTAGTGAATATTTTGCTCTTGATTATTACTTGTAATACCTATTTACCATTGATTGTTTAAAACAGCTGTTAGCACAAACAAGAAAAAACAGCATAAATAATTTGATTTTGGCTATTTTTTTGATCTATTTTGCTTTGAATCCTCCAAAAGTGTAAGAAGTGCTCTCTTGAAGCTATCTCCTCAAACATGAAAAATTTCCAAATGTTGTGCTTCTTTGCACTGTATATCCAGGTGCACAATTTTAAAAACTAAGGCCTTTTATTTTGATGGAGGTGTAGTCATATTTTGGCTATGTGCTCCTCTTCTCTTTGTACACTTAAAAAACTGATAAGTTTTTGGAAGTTAAGAGGACAGCAGCCTTAATTATAGTTCTGCCAGCATTATCGAGGCATCACAGTGTTTTCATCGCATCTCTCTCTCTCTCTCTCTCTCTCTCTCTCTCGGGTGTTTGTTTATGAGTACCTCAGGCATTCCATATTTCTTCGTGGAATTTAAAGTATCAATGTAATAATTCATTGATTCTTCAATTTGTTTTTACCCTGAATTGGAAAGATGAGGAGCTAAGCTTTAAAAAATGCTCTCACTAATTCATTGAAAGAGATATTTTATAAGAGGTTTTACTAGTTCTACATTGCTGAAATCATGCAAGCGTCTCAACTGTTTTTCTTCGCTAGTGAAATTCTTATCAGAAATTCTTTTTGAAATTTGTGGGCAGAAGATAAGGAATCTGTAGTTAAATAGGTACTAAAAGCGCATATGCGAGATCTAGAAGGTTTGTGAATTGTACAAGTGCTTGAGATGCACAGGGGATGAATATGCAAACCATAATTTCTCTCTGAAATGTTTTTTTTATTATTATTTTTTCCAAAAGCATTGCATTTGTATATTGCTTTGTCAAGCCAAGTTTCACATTAGGTACTGTTCCATCTACTTTTCTTTTTGCCAGAAATGAATGCTTCTCAAAAGCCATACTAAATGGACCTTGTGTCTCAATTATAGTCATTACAATCCACCAATGCATGTTTACAAAGTTATAATGCAGGCTACTAAACTAGTCGAGGCTGTCGAGCTATATACATATATCATTTAACGATGTGAGATACAGTTTGGTGTTATTTGTAGGTGGCAATAGCATCAGGAGAGGGGAATTTGATTGAGAAAATTAGAGGAGTGCAAAACGGAATTGATGTCGCAAATGTTGTATGCGTTGAAGCCAAGGGTTTGGAACTCAAGGAAGATAATGTTCATTCAACAACACAAACTGAAGTAGAATTGGGACATGTTGGATGAAGCTTCTCACCCATTTTTTAACAAACCCCCCCCCCCCCCCCCCCCCCCCCCCCCCCCCCCCCCCCCCTCGACTCAGTCATCTGATACTTTGTCAATTTGAATATTATTATTAATATTAGAATATTCTACCAGCGGAGCCATACGTGTGCGATTTCTTCAAGTTAACAAGTCTTTTGAAAGAACAAATTGTCTTTCATTCTGGCAATCTTGAGTCTTGTTTTTGACTTTGGACTGATAGCATATTTATGTTTAAAAAACAACTTTTCGAGTCTTTGAAACTTTGGGTTATTTAGCCCTGTTTGATGGTCATTAAAAATACTCACAAATATTATAGCATTAGAGATATAAATTGGGATTGACTGGATGCTGAAAAGCTGTGAGAGGTTTTACTCTTTAAGCTTGTCCGGTTTTATTTTGTTTTTTCTAGAAATCAACTAAAATAACGGGAAAAAAAATAAATATGTTCAGCGTTAATGGCTAAGTCTTGATGAAAAGCCAAGTTTCTCAAACTCGATCGGGAATAAAGAAACTTTCACTAAGCATGTCAACGCTCTGTTTAATTTTTTTCTGTGACAAATATGTTTATCTATGACATTATTCCTACATTTTCTGGCCGATATGGCCCCTTTAGAGATCTCCTTTTCTTATGGTCTATCCCAAAAGCAGAAAAAATAAGTTATATCTAATTTCTGAAAAGCACATTCCTTTTGCTTGTCATTTAGCCATAATTCAGAAAATGGAGAAGGATGACAGGAAAGATTACTTCAAATTATTTCCCCTTGTGCTTCAAGTTATTAAATGAGCCATGACAATGAGAAAGTGCGTTATGATATGCATCACATATTAGATAGATGTAAGAACAAATGAATGAACAAGTCAATTCTTCATTCCATGATTCCGATCTATCTAAAGCTTTGGCCTCATAACGAGTCGATGATATGAATTTACTTCCGCAGCTGATATGTTAACTGATTGAGAGATTTCAAATTAAATGCACTCATCGCTTACCGGTGAGTATTTTTCTCATTCTTGTTGCTGCAATTAGAGAATATCCTCTACTTCGTAACAATTATGTGCAAAATATATAAGCACGTTATTGCATTTTTGCTCGAAAAAAGCATCAAATGGTACATTGATTATATGGTTGAAAAGACTTCGTTGTCTAGTGCCAAAATGACTTTGAATTTATGCAATGAAACCAAAGTGGAGAATGCCTACAAAAACCCTACCCCATATAAAGAGGTGGCTGGTTGATGAGTTTCACTCATCGTTTTAGTACTACTTAAGCTTGATATTTTGGTTTTCTTTTAGCAATTTAGAACGTGTTGAAGTGTGTTTTAATGTTGTTTTATAGGTAAGATAAATTGGTAAAAATGGTGAATTGTGGAGCTTGAAAATGAACCAAAGATGATGTTGATGACGCGATGAAATAAGCTGAGAAGAAAAGATGGAACAAAAATATGCGACGGTTGCAAAGAAAGAGGCCAAACAAGCATGTGAATAACTTGAAGTGAACGAGAAGTGCAGCAACAAGACGCTACCTCAATAGCGCCTAAGCGCCACACATTGCAAGCCAAAGAAAAAATATCTTCAGCAACTGAGAGCCCAGGGACTCAGTAAATAGAAAAGTTCCAGCAAGCTGGTGCCCAGGCGCCACGAGCCAGCATAGATACAAATCATGAAGCCGCGGTATTGTGAAGCCACTGCCATCGGCGAGAACAAGTGTTCTGAAATTTTTGGACTTCTTCTAAAGCCCTACTCGTCCCTCACGATTCCAACACTTCAAGATACTATATACATAATCCTAAGGAAAAAGCTATTCTACCAGATTTTATGCAAATTACTCACAATGAGATGGGTCTCACACCCACTTGCGTACAAAGCTTGTTCAAATGAATCTGATTTTATAGCACTTCTCTAATCCTAAAGACCTATTTGATGGGGGAATTCAACAATACGAGAAGGCAAGAAACAATGAAGAAATCTAGATCAATACATCGAAGAAGATTGACTCACTACAATGATAGTTTTTTTTTTCTCTTTTCTCCTTTATGTTGTTCTTGATTAATTTGATAGTTTCCATGTTTTTTATCATGAACTAAATTCCATCTCTAGGGTTTAATGTAGTCAAACTTGAGAACATGTTTTGATTTTATATTAGTTAGCTTCTTTCAATTTTTCCATTAAAGTTTATTTGTGTTATTGGTTTAATGCTTTCAATTATCTAATCAATAATTAAATGATTTAATGCTAATCAATTTCGACACTCAAAAGAAGGACATTTAAGCATGATCTAAGAATATTGCATTCTAAATTTTATAGGTTTCGAGAAAAAGTATAAAATCTTTGAAATTTGTTTCACTTAAAACTGCGAACTTGATAATTTCTAGATCTTAATTCGGAATAGAAATATTGAAAGTGAAATAGGAATGATTTCTATTTGTCACTCGAGGGATGGGGTAGAATTAAATTGGAGTCTTGCTTATAAACTTTGGAAAAACTGATTAAAAATAATTATACAATTGAAAGAACATAATTATTAGTGAGATGAAATCATACCCTTTCTCACATTGATATATTGATTTAAATTTGCATTTATTTGTTGAATTCGTTATTGCACTCATCGTTAGATTAGTTAAAACAATTGATTAAAAATACATTCATCTAGATAAAGTAGATGCCAAAATAATTATAATACTTGGTAAAAATTGAATCTCAATCCCTTTGGGTTCAACATCCATACTTAATTATATATTGCAAAACTTGACACAACACACTTGTAGTACAATTATGTTATATAACACGCATAACACTGCTCCAACTTGACAAGGGTCATTATCATAGGTTGTGCAAAACCACATTTTTTCTGAACGATCAACCTATCTAGGACAATTTGGTTTAATTGATCGATGAGAGTTGGATATGCTCTTGCTTATTCCTAGTACTTATGTTACTCAAGATAGTAACGAAGGAGGAGTTTGGGCCTGTATAAAAATAAAAGTCAATGCTTAATTTATGCAGATCTCCTTCCTCACCTGGGCAATGAATCTTAACACACATTTATGTGAGGCAAAAAAAAAAAAAATTGTAATTTATTGAAAAAAGACTTAGAAAATTTGTTTCATGTAAGGCTAGTAAAGTGACTAGCCCAAGTCAGTTTTCGTGCACCTAACTAGACTTTGTACTTTTATGAAGGATATTACTATTTATGTTGTGTGTGTTACGGATAATCAATTTTAACTATATCTTTATAATAATGAAGTTACAATGATGTTGGTCGATATTTTCATTTTTTTTTTTTAATTTCAATGTTTGTTCAGTGATGATCTTCATTATTGATAATTGTTAGGTTTTAAAAAGTATCTTGAATTAATTGTTCACAAGATCATTTAATCAAACTCTAAAGGTTCGTAAATTTTGATTTCCTAACTTCTATTAAGTGGAATTCACTTGAATACATTGAAATGCTTTTCTATTTTCAGTTTTTTTTCCCTATATTCGTATTGGTTTAAAGAATGAAATAGAACAATAAGAGGAAAAGACTGTTTGGTTAGACTTTAAAGAAAGGGATAGATGGTGGTAGATGAGGACATTAGAGTAAACATGTAATGGGTGAGGAAGGACAAAATAAAATGCTAAGTTACGGCATTATTCACAAAAGTAGTTGACAATGTGTATGGATAAGGAATCTGAATATCTGTAAAGTAAATCTCAACAACATCATCTTTGAATTACTTTAAAATTATTACAAATAATGAAGTCTGTCAAAGAATATGACACATCATATCTGATGAGGTTCGTGTGGAAGAACAAACACTCGCATATTTGGAACGCCTGGATTGTCGGTGTTCGAAAAATTGAGTGTAACTTTTGCATACGGTGCCGTTTTGGGCCTATAAGTACTTTTCAGAAAGGTAGCGACCATTTTGGATTGAACTCACAGCTTTGCTGGGATGTATGAGAGATTTTGGCCGTTTGAGATCGTTTGTTGGGTCAAAACCGCGTTTCATATTTATTAGTTCATCTTTTTTAATATTTCTTATTTTTGCGTTGCAACCTAGCCCATTTAGGGGCTGTTGGCCTAGTAGTTTACCTAATTCTTGTCATATTTAAACCTCCAAAAAAACGTGTGTTTGTTTCCTTGGTTGTTGAAGAAATAAAAAAAAGGTTATTATTTTTTGCATCAATCCGTGAGAGCGAATACTTGTTTGAGTTTGTAGATCAGATCTACATCATCTGGTATCAGAACATGGTTCGAGGAAGAGGACGTGCTGGTCGCGGTGGCCATGGTGGCCAGGTCGACGAAGTAGCAGATCTGCGAAACCAAGTCGAGGCATTAACAGTTCGATTCGATCAGTTTATGACGTGGGCGACGGAGATCGTACAGAACGGAGTGCCTCCTGCCCCTCCACATCCTGCCCCAGCGAGTGATGGGGACGGGGGATATGAATCAGGCGAGGCGTCAGATAAGACGTTGACGGAGGTACGTGGTGGTCGTGTTCAACAACCATGTGCGCAACAACAGGACGCGTTTTATTGTTGGGAATCTGGATTCAAGGTGGATCTGCCTGAGTTTCACGGTGGAATAGAGGTGGAAGAATTTCTTGATTGGCTAGCGACAGTAGAGGAGATCTTGGATTACAAAGAAGTGCCCGACGATAAGAGGATACCCTTGGTGGCGATCCGCTTATGGGGTCGTGCTGCTGCTTGGTGGCAACAACTAAAGCAGAAACGAATCCATCAGAGTAAGGTGAAGATCCAGTCTTGGGGAAAAATGAAGAAACGGTTGAAGGCAATGCTTCTTCACTTCAACTACACCAAGACCTTGTACCAGCGCTTGCAGAATTTAAGGCAAGGAAATCATTCTATGGATGCTTATTCCATAGAATTTTACCAGTTAATAGCGCGTAATGATGCGGGAGAGTAAGAAGACTAGTTGGTGGTGCGCTATATTGGTGGCCGACGGTTGAATCTACATGATGTTCTTAATATGTTTTCCCCGGTGTCTGTTTCTGAGGCTTATCAACGTGCGCTTCAGGCCGAGATACAG